AGAAGAGAAAAAGAAGCAGAGAAGGGCCCCACCAAAGAGGAAGCTAGAGACGGATGACTATTCCAGCTTCATGGCAAAGCGCTTTGCTGATTTTACAGTCTTCAGAAACCGCACACTTCAGAAGTGGCATGATAAAACCAAGCTGGCATCTGGAAAACTGGGGAAGGCAAGTGTGTGTGTGTGTGTGTGTGTGTGTGTGTGTGTGTGTGTGCATGTGTGCATGTGTGATGTAGGTTGTGGTGATCTGAAGCAGATTTAAGAAACTGGAACTTCAGCTCATTTATATGGTTGTTGTTACAATGTAATAGGAATCAGTTGTTTCTGTAGCAAAATTTACAGAACTCCTACCACTGGGATTTATACCATTTGCTTGAGATTTTAACTTTATTAGAAAGAATGTTTTATTCTTAAAATTGAGGGCTTTTAAGCGTTCAAGTGCTGGAAATGCAAATACTTTAAAGAAACGGATTTTAAAACAATTAGTATTAAAGGAGCAGAAGTTAATCTCGGGACATAGGAAAGTAATATGACCTGCTTAGACTAATTTTTTTTTTCCTGAGATCAATTACAGCCACTCACAAACTCAGTCCTTAACAGAAAGTCCCTCCTTTCTCTATTTCTCTGCTGACACAGAAGGATAGAGAAACCAATGTAGCTGCTTTCAGCACTGACTTTCTGCATTATCTGACACTGGTTAATGTTGTTGCAGGGTTTTGGTGCCTTTGAACGCTCAGTCTTGACTCAGATCGATCATATTCTGGTGGACAAAGAAAGATTACTTCGAAGGACACAGACCAAACGCTCTGTCTACCGAGTTCTTGGCAAACCTGAACCGGCAGCTCAGCCTATCCCTGAGAGTTTGCCAGGAGAACCGGTAAGAACTCTGATGGAGGGTGATTATGGAGAACAGTTTCTATGAGGTTAATTGGCTGAAAAACTTGTATACCTCTTGGTCTAAGAAGTTAGTGAAAGAAAGGGAAACACAACTTTACTGGATTGTTGAGAAACTGAGAGTATGTGGGAAGAGAAAGTTTTTAAAAATAGGGCTTTGATGAACTTTTATATGTCATTTCTTAATTTTGAGTTTGATACAGGAGTTTAGTAATGGAAGCATTCATAATCCAATTTTTAAAATTCAGTTTTACAGCTACTTCTATAGAAATGTCAGTATTAAAGGAAGTGTGTACTTTAAGGCTTACTGTTTGCCAGTTAGGTACTCAAGGAAAGGATCCAAAAGTGGTATAGTCATATTCTTTTGTTTAAAGGAAACATTTTTATTTTTTGATTATAGAAGAAATATATACTTAATACTTTTTTTGAAGTTCATAAAAATTTAAAATGAAAAGTAAAATTTCTCCTATTCTGAAAATTCCACTCCTCAGATTTAACCAGTGTTAACAGTTGTAATAAGCTTTCATTTATTTTCTATTCATATAACTTTCTCTGCATTTTTATTTTATTTTATTTTTTTATTCCTTTTTGTCTTTTTTTTTTACTGACCGGTAACGGGATCGCAACCCTCGGT